CTAAATGAATAAATATCAATATGCTTCCATCTTTTAAAACTGGTCTTACAATACTTCTTATGTACTGTTTATGATTTATGCAAATTATCCTATTGATTTGTATGCACAATGCTAATATTTTATATGCTATTACATGTACATACATACATATACATTAATGTATGCATTGATACTTTTAACAACTTCTAAGATTATTTATTATTATTATTATGTGCTATTTAATTATCATAACAGTTCCATGAAGCAAACAGGGGAAATTTTCTTATGCTTATTTTAAGGATAAGAAAATAAAATTCCACAGGATTAAGAGATTTATCCAAAAATTACATGAATTCTACATGGTGAGAGTTGGGCTGAAACATTATTCTATGCAAAATAATTAAGCTTCTCATTTTGTAAGTGATAGTGTTCAGTGGTAGAAGAGAAAACAATCAAGATTGTATGAGAGAGAAAGCTGTTTATGTACAATAATTATCAACATCTTTTTATAACCCATTCCAACTTAACTACAAGTATTGGGATTTTTTTCTATATATAAATATTTACTCATAGCCTTATTTATATGCTTACTACAGGCATGTCATAATATTGAATACTTTTTAAAATAGCATACTGGGGACAAATGCGTATGAAATTACTCAAAATTGATAACCTAATGATTACAAAGTGTACATTGACATTGTAATATATAAATTAAGTAATAATGTTTTCCAACTTTAGCTGGGGTAGAATAGAATTGAAATTAAAAATGTGAAACATTAAGTAAGAAATAAATGGAAACATTCTAATTTATATTTAAAATATCAGAATTGTGATTTCATTTCTTTAGCATCTAACTATTATAAAACGATTAAAAAAGAGAGAATTAGTGTTGTATTTTCACCCTATGGTAATTAAAATAACTTTTGTCATTGTTTTTATATACTTACTTACATTTGTCCTGCCATCTTAAAAAAAAAAAAAAAAAAAGGACTTTGCGGCTATTGGATAATTGACATTTTTAAATGAGCTTAAAAGTCTAATTTTGGTTTGGTTTGCAAAAGCCAGAACATTCACAGAAGTTTTCTAATTTTCAACCAACAATATTGCTTTTGAGAAAAAAAAAAAAATCCCAGAAGGTTTGTGTCTAAATTAAACAGGTCAGCAGTTGATCTTAATTTAATTTACTAAACAATTTCATTTAGCAGTTCAGAGACTTGGGCTTCTTCCATGAAAGTGTAGCCATGTGGAGGATTCTACTATTTCATCTAATTTATCTCTGTCCTCCTTTATTGTTAAAGTGCATTGCAAGGGCCCAGAAATACCTATTTGTCACAAACCCACCGTTGAAGCAATACATGGCAAATCATTATAGAGTTTAGTGTTTTATAATTAATTTGCTGTATTGCATTGTTTAAAAAGAAAAAAAACAGCTTTTTCAATATAAAAGCAATGTATTTCAAAGCCTTAGGCTTACTTAGTTTCCAGGTCAAACTATTTTCAAATTCGACACAAGTTTCTGAATTTTCATTCCTGTGGTCAGATAGTTCCACTGTGCTGTACACGTCAGGTTCTGGTGTGCTCAGAAGCACACAGATTTCTGGTTAACTGCAAGAATCAGGAAATGCACTTTTGTATTAGGAAGTGACCCCTAAGTTGCAAATTGTGAAACAAATATATATATTTGGTAATAAAATTTTCCCCACCACCTATTCTCATCCTGCAATGTAGAAGAAAGGGTCTAGAAACATAGTGTAAATGAAAAATAACTTTAAGTATGTCTACAATGTCCACAGTAAAAATAATAATAATAAGATTTGAACATGCTACAGAATGTTTCTAGAATGTGTATTTATTTATAAAGCTAAATTATTTGATAATGATATTAGGTAAATATTTAGGCATTATTTTATTCTCTGGATATGTTTTTAGAAACGTGAAGATATAAGTGCTCTATTGTATTTATTTTCCAAGTAGGATTTATTTTATTGCAATAGAAGTATACCTTATTTCTCAAAATAATGCTATGATAACATTAATGTTTTACAGCTGCATTGAGTCAATTCATAGACTTATCAAGTAATACAAATAACACATATCTCTCTTCTCAAATGATTTGTATATATGACTGATAATTTTGTTCTTAATAAGATCATAGGCAACATCAAAATATAACTATTCAACTTGTCAGACTATTGGTTCCTAGGTATAACAGTTATTTTTTTTTATTTTCAATGTATAAAATACGAAAATATAACTTGAGAATAGAAATGTCAGAACTAAGCACCATCTATTAATTTGTTATGAAAATATAACTAGAGAATAGAAATTCCAGAACTAAGCACCATCAATTAATTTGTTGATACCTATTCATTATAATGGAATTAAATTCAAAATCAAATTATTAGAGTAAAAACTGATCTATGAATAATCTTTATAATTAAAAATTAACAGAACATCAGTTTTGTAATATATTTAATTCTGTATATATTTTTTCTTCAAAGATATTCAGATTTTACCAGAACTTACTTACATAAATGAATAAGATTGTATTTCAGACTTTAATGGAACATTATTTGTGTAATTTTTCTATTTTCCATGTCATATACTTACCCACCTTCTAATTTTATTGATTACACTGTTTTGAAAGGTTATTTTTTTCTACATTAAGACAGTAAAGTTTAGAAATAAGCATTATGTATTGAACTGATCATCTATTCAAATAGGACATTTGCCAGAATTAGCCAACAACCTGTTAACTCTTTCCTCTCCCCGGTTTTTGTGAGAATGCAGGCATTACTTATAAGTGATGCAATTCCTCTTACACTTAAAAATATACCCTTACATTGTAGTGAGTAGAAAAAACTTATAAAACACTAAAATATTTCCCAATAGTTCTGGCAACATTTGACACCAGTGATTAATGTCCTATATTAACATGGTAATACCTCAACCTTATTCCCAATACTCTATTTCCTAAAATATTTTCTTCTGCTTTAATTTTGACATATGAAAAATAGCTATAAAATAACTTGAGAAACATACTATATTGATTTTTAATTGGAAGTAAAATTAGGATTTATAATTTAACTCCTTTATGAAATGCACACCAAACACATTCAAATTTTTATGTAACACATAATTTGCTCAGAAGCATCAAAAATAGATGACATGAATTAGAATATGAATTATTAGATATGTGGAATTAGAAAAAGTATATCTGTTAAATTACAAATAAATAGTTTTAATATCAAATAGGTATATATTTAAAAATTAGAAGTAAATTAATTGCTCAGCTAAAATATTTTTAATGTGCTGTAATACCATAGACACACCTTTATTTATTACAGATGATAAAACTATAGTGCTAAACTAATCAAATTCAAATCAATTTAACCAAATATATTTCAGCAACACAGTGTTTAAGAAATTCAAAATATGCTAAAGAATGAAAAACTAATTGCCTTATAATCAAAAGCAGTCAGTTTTAAAATTCTACCCAACAGGTAGATGATAAATTTTTCATTTCTCAGTTGTGTTTTTAGCAGGAAGTTGTCAAAAAAGTTTGACATCTCTTAAACTTGCATCTAATTTGTCTGTGTTTATGAACCTAATGTTGATATGTAAAACCACAGAACAGGAAGAAGAGGGTGGCTACAGTTCTGTTAAAATATGTATACATCAGGATTTGCAGATACCATGCATGGTGTGAAAGGATGCTTGTTTTCCAAAAGGAAATGGGCACTGTCTTTTCCTCAGTTCTTGTTGTTGTTTTTCTCTTATGTCAAATGATTCCCAACTAAATTTGAGACAATAAGGGGTATTGTTAATTAATTTTCCCAGTATTTGCATATATTAGAATGAATAACAATGGATAAATATAATGCTACTGTATCCAAAAGGCTACAAAATTAAGAAGTCATTTTTTCTCATAAATTCAAAAATCTCAACCTTCCATTGATACTATGTTTTCAGTAATTTTATAAAACTTCTACCCAAGGAAGGGTGTTGAATTAAAACATCTAATCTGCTTGTACTTTAAAAATGCTTTTTTATAAGAAAAGTAGAACGATCAGTAAGTGTGGTGTTACAAGTTCAGAAAACAATTGAAATACAAAGTTTACGCCTCTCTGGTATATTAAACCAAGTTTCACCTTTGACTGGTTTGACCTGGTGATTTCTGTTTTAACCCTGTTTTGATCTTCAATTTCAAGGCAGCAAGAGTCAAGCCACATAGATTAATTCTTTCCAAACTTTTGATTTTTCTTTCATTTTTACACGAGTGTGGATTTTTGAATATCGATGTGCGCTCTTTACTCCCTAGCTGATTATGTGAGCTACTATAAGAATCTCAGGAGTTTTTAATAATAGTTGAGGTTTCATTAAACTTAGTTCTCAAGTGACACCTTAAAGTTTATTCATCAAATAACTCAGGGTGTAAAAGTAGCACATAAACATTAATTGAACCGTCATTAAGCAGTATAATTGTTTTCAATTAATAGAGGACATTTAGCTCCATACCGTGTGGTGGAAAACAATTAGGTCTTATGATACACGTGCTGTTAAGGATACTGCTACCAGACTTGGCCAGCTACACTTTACAAAATAGCAGTCAGCTGTAGTCAGAAGCGTGCCCAAGTCATAGGAAGTCATATTTTTACTGCCATGTCCTCGCTGCTTATAAATATTGTTATGTGCCTCATGCCTTATGCTAATGGCAATGACTAATGTTTGTCATTATCTTCACTCCATCTTAGTTTAGAAAATCCCTCAGGAGAGACTGATCATAGCTAGGATGCTGCTTAAAGTGAAAGTGTTTTTCTAAAACACATAATATAAAAAGCACTTAAATACAAAAGGTGGGATGGATAATTTATTTTGTTTTGGGTATGCTTGACAACCGCTACTGTTATTAAATTTGCCATGAGACTGATTGATATCCTATATGAGAATGCCTTATAGATGCTTGTATGTGTGATTGCACAATGCTTTAAAGTTGTTCTGCTCATCTGGGACTGTAGGTGAAGATGTATGATACAAAAATGAAAAGCTGGAATAAATCCAAGACTGGCTGTTTGGAGGTTTCATTTTTTAACAGCGGAGGTGAGTCCCTTCATCCGTTTGTGATTTCATTTATGAACTCTGCTTACAAGACAGGTATAGAACACTTCATTATGGGCCCAAACATATATGTTTAAATGGATAAAGCAGCTGTTACATCAGATGGAGGCAAAGTGGGGACATTAAATTAATGTCAAACAAGGAGAAACTCTTTTAGTTTTATTCTACATTGTAGCAGCATAGTGATAATGTGCTGATTTTCATATGCACACAATTTCTGTTATGTCTTATATCACCAGAACATGAGGTTATGAATTCCTGTATTATGAAGTAAAAATAAAAGCAATAATAAACTAACAAGGAAATATATTTTGTTCAGAGAATGTGATGAATGTTCACACTGTTTTTCATAATAAGGAGGATGGGGGACAAAAAGTTTCTGTGAAGAAATGTCATCCACCATACATGATGGTTATTGAGTCTTTGTCTAAAGTATTACTGTAGTCATCCTGCCAAGTTTCACCTTTTTTTATTAGAGGAGAAGTTCAATTTCATGGGATAGGGCCAAGATATAGGGACTTCCAATAAATCTTCATAGAATGAAATGGGATGGAATGGAATAGGGTAGAACAGAACCCAGTAGAATAGGACTGCAATTATGTGTTCCTCCCTTTAATTCTAATTTGTTCTGAAACACAAGGAGAAATAAATGTATGGCTGGATGGTCAGCGATATAGATGATTTGGAAGATAAGCTTCCATTTTCTTCCTTATATATTCCTGTATTTTAAAACAGGGAGTGTAAATTACAGTTATGTTTGATGAATGAGATAGGAAATTGTGTAAGATATATTTCAGAAATTTTTTTCTTAAAAGAACTTAAGTAATTTTTTTTAATGAAGATACATTTCCCAGGACTTGATATTCAGAAAGACCTTAGGGAAGAGTTGAGAATGGTTATGGATACTATAGAAACACTGTGCCTCCTTCTATTTTGTCTCAGAGCAGTTTGGAGGAAAACAGAATCTTATCTTTATGACCATCTTGAATCTGATCCATACTTAACATCTTTCCCAATTCTTTTCAGAGTTCCATGTAAATTCTCCTGTACAATGTAACACTGTCTTTGGAATTCACTGTCAGTTACAAACTACACTGTAGATAAAGTGACCATACGTCCCGGTTTATGCCTGTTGTTTTAGGGTCATTATCATTAGCACTACCTTTTACTCTCAGATGTGTCCCAGTAGGGATGACAAATTATGGTAGCCTTATCTATAAATAATAATAACATGTCAATAATGATAACCAATAGCCCTACTGGAAGCTTGCTATTTGTCAGAGACTTTGAGTGCTTTCATGTATAATGAATTCTTCATAATAACCCAATGAGGCAAGTATGTTATTTCCCCCATTTTACAGTAGAAGAAACAAGAGTTAGAGAGGTTAAATAGCATGGCCTGCTCACATAATGGGCCCAACCTTAAATCAGACAGAGATCTGACTTTATAACATCATGTGCCAGAAGATGGTTATGCTATCTTCTTATTTGCTTGCTGATAGAATTAGCTTTGCTTTTTTTAATATACTCAAAGATTATCAATAGTTTTCATTTACTATTCTTCCTAGATTCTACAACTATATTTTTATAAGGACTGTGGATTTTAAGATGCAAGAAAAGAGCACTGAAGTGAACTAAAATTCATCTGGTTTTTAGTTCAGGATGTTAATTTTACTATATTAATAAAAATAACTGTGATTTGTTGAATGACTAGTATATGCAAGATTGGGACTTTCCCTTTGTTGTATCACTGACTCCAAAAACAGCAGTGCAAGGCAGAACATTTGAACCCCATGAATGTATATGATTGCTTTAGCTATTAGCCCTAAATTGGTTCATAGGTTACAAATGAAGCTTGGGGGCATTAAATAGTTTCAGCAGGCCTCTCCAAGCTCTGACATTCTTATCCCTAGCTGCCTCTAGGAGTACTTGATTATCAGGATATAAGATACAGAATCTGGATGCAAGGAAAAATTCTTGGGGACAAAGCGACTTCCTCAGCACCTCATGTTTATATTAACTGCTGTGCAATGAGTGCTTAATAAGGGTATGCACTTTACATATTTTTGTAAACATATTTTCTTCTATTTTCCTCCTTACCATAGGTCAAAAAAGAAGATAATTTGGATTTGAACCCATGTAAGTTTAGCTCCACTATGCTAGAGAGATCATCTATCTCTGAAACTCTCTATAGATTACCATCATTTAGGAACTTTTCTGAAAAGCAGTATTAAAGATGAATAAATAATATTTACTGATAATCAAATTTGTTCTACAACTGTATAAAGACTATAAAAACAGATATAATAGTGTATAGAGATTGTTGAAATTCCTTGTCATATTTTCAAATAAAAAGTGTGGAAATTTTTACTAGTGCAGAGTAAGTTCTGTATGCTGCAAAGAACAAGGTAAATGTAAATCTGTGCCTATACTCAAAAGATGATTACAATTCACTTGGGAATACAAGAATATAAATCCACAAATGTGGATTGTGTACTATTATAAAATGCCAAATTGTATAGTGTTATTTGAACAGTGGTTCTTAACCACATATGCATATCAGCATCATGCATGATGTGTTTTAAAACTACAGATGTCAGGACCCTACTGCATTGACTAAGTAAGTTTTTGAGGTTAGAACCTGGAAATATGTGTTTTTAAAATTCCATGGATGATTTTGAGGTGTACTATGGATAACAACCACTGGATTAAAATATATGTGTAACATATTAATATGTTAATTATGCAGATTTTAAAAGTTGATTTTGGCTGGGATATAAAAAGATGGCTTTGTAGAAGAGACAGGATTTGAATGGAAGGTCAGATGTGGACAGAAGGTAAAAGAAACATTTATTTCTTTTTCTTATTTAGCCCAAAATAAAATTTTATCTTTAAGGTTTTTATCTGCATTTCAGATTCCTAATTGGATTGGGCTGGAATAGAAAATAAAACATAAAACAATAAATACCTGGAAATGTTCAATTGTTTTCTAATATATCTATGATATGGCTATATGAAAATCAGGTTTGAAAACTTGCCTGAAAACTTGTATATTATTATATTTATATTAATATCAATAAGGAAATCTAATCATGGCTAATAAATACAATTTAGGCCACAAACTACCAAAGGGCAGGATTCATGCTTTATTCAAATTTGAATTCTTAGATGTTTAGCATAGTGGACTAGCCTATGCATAATATATATTTGTTTGTTGAATTAATTAGATATTTGGATTTATTTGCTTTATTTATCCCACCTTGTGGGGCAAATTTCATTGGTCTCCATTTGAAGTCTTAAGAACTTTTGCTATGAAGGTTTTGGTTTATTCATCTATTTGTTTCTTGACCCAGAACTAATGTTCTGACAAAGACTCACAATCATTAGCTTATAGGAGAAAACTTTTAGGTTTTTTCTTTCCAAGAAAAAGACTGAAGGGAAGGAAAGACAGGTGGAAAAGGCAAACGAGAGTTGCAGGAGAGTTCCTTTTTAACAACAGGAGAGTTCTCCTAAGTTTATGCCCAGAACAGCTGGTAAACCACTCTTCTCAGACCAGTCCTTCCACAGGGAGCACTGAAGTCACCAGACCCGCCTATGATCAGGAGAAAGGCTTCCAAAGCTTTCCCACGCTCTATCTACTAACCAATTTTTTTATTAGGACACATTTGTTTTGTCACTGTTTTGGTTTGGGGTGTTAATGGAGCTTTAAAGGCACAGTAAAAAGATCACAAAAGCTCTTTTTCTTATGTTGCATTATGTCTTCCCAGCACCAGTCAAGCCAGGGTTCTTTTGCTTTTTGGTTGTTGTTGTGGAAACGATGTCAGATGTTCATATTTTCCCAGTGGAATTTTACAATACTTTTGGAAACAGTTTCGTAGGGTGAAAATAAGAAGAAAGAATGAAAACAAAACACAGATGGGAAAAAAGTACGGTGAGTTGATGACAGAAAGCTTTGATTTTCATCGTTCTACTTTTGAAAATAAGGGTAAAAGTTGAGGGCGTCATACAGTGCTTAGCTGTGGACATCCATGTGTAAAAACATTTTCAGTGTGAGATGACTTTGAAAATGATGACAGCCTCTTATTTTGGTATTAGGAAAGGGGCAGGTAAGATCCGGAGGATGGAGCTTGGGCAGAAGCTGTTGTTACAGGACAGGATTCCTGTAATCTACTGTCTCTATGGGCCATCTTTTGAGTAGTTGCACTTTTTCGGCTTCCCCACTCCTTTCTCCAGGTGCTATGTGATTGCTTCACCCTAGACAAGCCTGTTTTTCCTCAAGGGAAAACAAATCCAAAATAAACATGATTACGTAATTCTTTATAAGCAATGATTGAATAAGAACATATCTAAAACAGTTTAATTCATACTGGGTGGCATAAAACAGCTGAAAATCAAATGAATTTCTGTTTTAGGAATGTTTCAAAAGTGGACCATCACATGCATGGTATATACGTCATCTTGAATACAACAGTAATTTCAATCAGTCAGTGATGTGCTGGCACCAGCGCATATAAGCTCATAGGATCCAAACATGTGCTTCTCTTCTCAACTAAACTGCAATGACTTCATTTTGGTAGCTTGAAGTAGACCCTGGTGTGTCTACTTATACCATAGAAATTGGGGAATGTTACAAATCTGGACTTTTTAATTATTTTGCAGAGAGCCAGTTTACCAGCACACCACTGAGTTACATGCACATTTTAGAAGTAAAAAGAGACCCAATATAAATATACATCTCTGTAATTAGGGATGTTACTTGCTGAGTAAATATTTAAAGAAGACACTGCTTAAGAGACACAGTATTTTGTTAGACTATCTAGGCTCAAATCTGTTATTAGTTGTCACTTAACTTCTCTGTCTTTTTGTCTTCTTATCCTTAAAATGAGAACTTCATATGATTTTTCTGATGATGAAATGAGTTAATATATATGATACACTCAAAAAAGTGCCTGGCAGAGAAGGTTCTCAATAAGTATATTCTATTAGTAGCAACAAGACATGAGGCTATATGGTTTTTACAATCTTCTCTTAAAAGACTGCCTAAATTCAGTGTTATTTTCCTTGTTGAGCTTTTATATCTCAGAAGCCCATACTCAATTTCCACAAGTTTTGTAAAGATCTGTTAAATGAAAGCACATCAGATCACTCTGAAATGCATAAAACACTATGTAAATGAAAGGTGGAATTATTATGTTAAAGACATCATCTTGAATTTTGTTTATACTGCATCTCTGAAACGAGCATCAGATTTCTCTCTAGGCAGTTACTGCTCCTACAGAAACAAACACAGATGGTGCCCAAACTTCCTACTGAATACTTTGAGGCAATGGCGTTTATCAAAATACATCCGGTCACTAAATGTACAAAAACTTCAAACAAACTCCACATCTCAGTGTCAGGCCAACATGGTTATTTAGGCAAATAAGCCTTTCTTTGATAATTCAAGGATTTTCTGATGTGTGAAATGGATTACTTCAACAAATAAAAAATCTTACATGTAGGCTAAGTTTTATAAAACAGGATATTAACATAGCAATTTCTTTTAGAGAAAAACAAATCAGTTTGTCTTCTGTGATGAGCATTTCTAATTAAATTTAAAGTAATTTTTTGGTTGTGCATGGACACGTTCCCTTTTCCCATTGACCTTCTGGTCACATAAAGCAGAAAAAATATATGTTTTAAAAATATGTATTTAGGCAAGGCACGGTGGGTCACGCCTGTAATCCCAACACTTTTGGAGACCAAGGCAAGTGGATCACCTGAGGTCAGGAGTTCGAGACCAGCCTGACCAACATGGTGAAACCCTGTCTCTACTAAAAATACAAAAAATTAGCCAGATGTGGTGGCACATGCCTGTAATCCCAGCTACTTGGGAGGCTGAGGCAGGAGTATCACTTGAACTAGGAGGTGGAGGTTGCAGGGAGCCGAGCTTGCACCACTGCTCTCCAGCCTGGGCAACAGAGTGCAAAACTCCATCTCAAAAAATACGTGTGTGTGTGTGTGTGTGTGTGTATTTAAACATTTTAAGAACCTAGTCTTTGGAACACAGACCTTATTCCGCAGGATAGTCCTGGGATTTCTGTAACTTAAACTCTCCTTAATGGGTTTTGTGTTGTTTCTGGGCATGTTTGCCTTTGAATCCACCTTTTGCCCTTTCTCTGGCTCAGTTAGCAGGAGGGAGATCTGACCCCTAAGGTTTCCTTTCCCAGAGAGCTGTCTCAGCTAGCTTGCAACTGGCTTCTGCCAGTGGGGGTTTGGGGATAAGTACCCTGGAAGGAGCCTATGAGATTGAGAAAAAGGTAGAAGTCAGGTTATTTTCCCAACATTAACTTTGCCTCCTGCACCTTCCCCAGCAGCAGCTGTATCTTTTCCCCACTCTGCCCCTCACTACCCAAGTTTGCCACAGTTCCAGTTCCCAGCAGGTAATCCAAGGCTCCTGTGTTAGTTATAGAAGCATCCCCTTGTCCTGTCTTGTGTCCCTCCAGCCTAGGGTTAGCTACAACTTGCTCCTGTTACTAATTTCGGAGTTGAGCAACTCAGAGAAGAAATGGGTAATGAAAGAGACAAGAAGTGAGCCTTTGCTCTATTGGTTTCTTGTCTCTTTCATTACCCATTTCTTGCTTTAACTAAGCCCCTGCATTATAGTCCTTTACTCCAAATGAACCCTATTTTCCTAACTGAACCCTGATTGACCCAAGGTCTGACACAGGCCACTTGCCCATACTGGATTCTTGAGCAAACAACAGAAGTGCTCTTCTCTCTCCTGTACCCATCATGAAGATTCCAGAGATTTCTGGTTCATAAACACTAACAATCATGGTTCCCTTTACAGCGCTCCTCCTTTAGTTAAATGATGATTCTACCCTCAGTCTGCACCATATTCCTGAGATGTTGGCAGAGATAAAGTATTTTTCTGTGTTTCTGCTAACATTAGTGTCACAAGACACTCAGAAATTATACTTGATTATTAACCTTCTTCAGGCCACATCCCTCAAATTCACTGCAAGGAATTGATTTATAGGTGGTTAGTCTATCAAACGTTAGTGCCCTTTCTAGTAAGTCACAAAGAATGACAGGGTCTCCAGATCTATTTCCACATAGGAGAATAGCAGGACTGAAGTATGGATCTGTTAGATTTTATCATTGTAAAATTCTATTCCTTGTGCTTTTTTTTTTTTTTTTGAGGAAGGAAATTTGGGCCACAAAGCAAATTCATATCTTAAAAGCTTAAATTAATCCTGTAAATATATTCTTAATCCAAAGCTGCCAAACTAGGGTTGTGTGTTCCATGAATTTGTTAAATTTATTTTGAATTTTGAATGTTGAAACATGCAATCTTGCTGAGTTTCTAAAAATAATATTTCATATTTTTTTCACCATTTTTCTGTATATCCATCCTATTACACTGCTCCTTCTTCCCCACATGATCTTTCTTATTTTACTTTCTTTTGCTGTGTTATAAATTCTAAGCCAAGTAACTATCCTTGCAGGAGTATTCTCTGAACTCTCCCAGTCACTGTCTGGGGAGCATTGCTTTGTAGCTTCAATTTGTGCCTCCATAGAGCGTTTTATGAAATGGTTTACCTCTCACTCTCTCTCTCTCTCTCTCTCTCTCTCTCTCTCTCTCTCAGTTTCACATTAGACTTGAAGTTCCATAAAGGAAGGACTGTTTTATCTTTGCATTCCTAGTGTCCACTAACTTCCCTGACACCTAGAAATCATTCAAATAATATTTGTTAAGCTCATTCTGAACAACACTGAAAGTTTCAAGGCCTCTCATGCTGGACAAATTTTAGTATTAGGATCTTCAAATAGATTTTTATTTTTAAATATTTTTAGAACTAGAAATATTTACGAACATATAACAGACTTGTTATTTCAGAAGATGCCTAGTGTTTATACCCTGTCCATAGAAGTAGTTACATCTTTGTTGAACGACATTCATACAGAAGGTAAACAGGCACTTGAGAGGAACAGTAGCACTTTAACAAGTTTAGGACAAAGCTTTTCAACTCCTTATCTTGTTTACATTCTTTTTCACTAGAAATTGCATCCTCTCTCTGTGTTCGTCTTCCTAAATTTAAGCCCTTATTTTCAGTGTCCATCTAAATATATTGTCACTGACTCCACCATCAATTAAGTAAATGCCATGTCTCTAACTCATTTCCTTTAAAAAGGATGAGCTCAGCCATGCTCTGTTTATTCCATTTATAATAGCTCTCTTTGCACATTTTGGTCCATTGCCTCCGGTGTCATTTCTCATGCATCTGTTTATTCTACCCAATTAGACTCAGAGCTTTGCAGTCAAAGGTACTTTTTCTTTTATATCTCCTCACAGCATGTTCACAACATAGGCTTGTAAACTAAATGTCTTCTAGATTTCACCAATCTGTGCTGGTATGTTGTTTCTTGAAAATGAACACACTGATGTGCTCACTCTGTGCCCGTGTCTACATCCATCGGCATTTTGGTCACCCACACAGGACATAGCTCTGAGTGGTTCCTTTATTCTAGACCAGGGATTCTGGGAGTTAGGCTATGAAGCACAGGGAGTTCAAGTCCCCTTCGCCACTTTTCTTTGAATCAAGTAATATCCCTAACCTATCTCTTCCCAGGGACTCACTATTGCCTTTCTAGTAGTTCCCATCATTAATAATTTGTTATCTGTCAAATAACCTGTTCATTTCCTTCATAGCACTTGTGATGATTTGTAACTATATACACATGTAAAATATGTATAGAATAAGCACATAAATGTATAAGTTTAAATTATATATAAATATGTAAAATATATAGTAAATATAAAGTGGATGCATGTATATGTATAAGTAATACATACAAAAATCACATCATACATATGAGCGTGCATATGTGTTTGTTTCATGTTTTCATCTTCTTTTTTTTCTCTACAGATTTTCTTCATCTCAACTCACCTCACCACTACAGATCCAAGCCTGACACAGAGCCTAACAGAAGTAGGTATCATAAATATTTGTTAAATAAATAAAAGGTGAATGAATGTATCTACGACAGTGAAGATTTCTTTCCAATTATTAATTATATGAGATATTAAATTTTACTGAACAAAAAGCATAGAGAGGACAGAACTAGAAACAGAGAAAAGCAAAAGAGCAAATTTTCTTCTCTCCACTCCAAAATTTCATAGGTTTATAATCTGTCTTATCCTAGAAAGGGGCTCCCAGACTTCTCAGTTTGTTTTTACCTGGAGAAAGGAAAGGGGAAGTCAAGAAAATCTCTGCTGTCCACTGTTGGTGCTACCCACCAATAAAATCTATAAATATTACAATTAAAAAGCTAATGATTTCCAAGTAGTATAGCAAAAAAACAAATTGGTCATGCCTACATTTACTGTTACAACCTCCCACTTCTTTACCAGTACAATCTGGATATCTTTAGAACGTACTTATAGCATATGCACTTATTCCTCCTAAATAAAAAATTCTGATGACTAAACAGGAGTGGAACATAATTACAGGAGTAAGTATTGACTGTGGTGATTCATGACAAGCATTGTGAGCCAGAAGGCTTGGTTTCAAGTCCTGGTTCCACAATTTTCTAGCTGTGAGATTTTGGACAAGATATGTAATCTTACTTTGCCTCTGTTTTTTCATTTGTAAAATGAATATCATAATAGTTCAGGTTGAGCAGACCTAATCCCAAGTCCAAAATTCTCCAAAATCTGAAACCTTTTGGGCACCATATAATGCCACAAGAGGAAAATTTCACACCTGAGCTCATGTGATGAGTTGCAGTCAAAATGCAGGTGCAAAACACACAGTTTATTCAGCATCCCCAAGACGAAAATAAAACTACCTTCAGGTTATGAATATAAAATATACATAAAACATAAATAAATTTCATGTTTAGACTTGGGTTCCATCCCCAAGATATCTCATTATGTGGCAAATATCTATTATAGCAAATATTACAAAATCTAAAAAAAAATTGAAATCCAAAACACCTCTGCTCCCATGCACTCCAAATAAGGAATGTTCCCCCTGTACCTAAGTCATAGGCTTTGTTTTAGCATTAAATCACTTAGAGCACCTAAAACCCTTAGAATAATGTCTAGCACATAGGAAACAATACATGTTTATCAATCATATTCTTATTATTTGTATTATTATTATTGTCACCATTTCCAAATTAAGACAGCTTCACTTCCAATACAGAATGGTTGAATTTCCATTAAGACTAAGCAAGGAAAACAGAGAGAATGTACACATTGGAAATAGTAAGAAGGAAAAGGGAATATAGCCAGAGATGCCTTAGAAATATAAAACAGCACAGTAGAAAGTCAGGATTCTCAGATATTGTTATGTCCTGTTAATAAAGTTTTTCTTTTTAATTCTTACCCCCATTAGAAAACCTTTCCTCATACACCTTCTAGACACTTAATGATGATAATTACTCTTATTTTATCTTCTTTGGTCTAAAAAATTTGGAGAACAATGTATCACAATGTACTTTTTCGTACCCCCAGCCTTGCTAAGGAATTTTAACTGATTTAACTCTATGATTTTCAAATGTGTTCATTCAAGAGTTGTTCATAGTCCCCATAGTTGTTTAAATTCTTGGCCTAATTTTTTTTTAAAAAAGGGGGCATTAAGTTTTTCATATATTTGACTGTATGGCATAAGATAATAACATCGTTAACCCTTAAAAAGAGAGACCTTTCCCATCTGACTGTGCTTATTCACTTATTTATCTTTTACGAATTTATGTTTATATTTAAATTAACAAATATTTAGATTCTATTATGTGCCAGCCCTGCACTAGACATCTGATTAAAGGAAAAAAAACATTTTTTTAAAAAAGCAGTGAACAGGGCATGACAGACAAAGTATCTGCTTGCATGAAGCCTAGAATCTAGAGAGAGTTTGGAACAATAAACAAAACACATAATATTTAAGTTACAAACCGAAATCATTTTTATGCCAGAAATAACTGGAAAGCAGGAGAGAAAATAATGGGGATGAGAGGTGGGGAGGTTGAGGGAAATTTTAGGCCAGTTACATAAGGCCTCTCTGAGGAAATGACATTTAAGCAACACCTGAAGGTAGAAAAGGAACCAGTCACTCAAATTGTTGGAAGAGCTGCATAATGCAGGCAGAAAGAATAGCAGTGCAGAGACCCTGCTATGGAAAAGAGCATGCACGAGTCATTGAGCCTGTAGCTGGACACTAATGAGCAGCTGGGACTTGGAGGGATAATTATAGGTCTGATGATGCAGGGTTTTTCTAATTTGGATATTCTCAGGGTGGAACAGGGTACTGTTACAAGGTACCTAAGCAAAGAGCTAGCATGATCTCTACATGTTTCAAAAGATAACCCTGGTTGCTGTATGAAGAACCTATGGAAAGGAGATAAGAGTAAAATAAGAAGACAACCTAGCAGAACATTAGAGTAATCCAAACAAGAAACATATGTAACTTAGTCTTGAGTGTTGGTAATGCAGCTATCGATAACTGGATATGAGAGACAAGCAGGAGGCAGAAATGACAGAATTTCGTGATGACTTGGATTGGAAATGGAGGAACTGTGTATGATCCTGAAGTTTCTGCCTCAAGTCGTAGATGATAGTTCTATTTACTAAGAAAGAAAAATTGTTGAAGTACCAGTTCTATCTTAATTAGGTTAATTTCATGATATTTATGTGACACCCCAGTGGAGATAATAAATAGGCGTCGGATTATACTGATTTATACAGATGTGAAGCTGTTACATAAATGAGCCAAAGATGGCCTCTGCATATTGGCCCCCAGGTTACTTCCTCAATATAGGCTGACACCCACTGGCCCAAAAGCCCACCAGGGGATCAAATCAAATGTTTACACACGCATTTATTTTTAAAATAGGCTACATAAGCAGATTTTTAGCCATTTAAAATCTGACTGTTTTGCATATGCCACAAAACCTCACCCCACAGCTGCTAGCAGTAGATAAATCTCATGGGTTATAAAGAACCAAGCCACTGCTGCCCTTTGGAGCTCCTTGACCCGGACTCCTCAGCATGCCACTGAGCAACATTGCCTTGACACATAAGCCCCATCTCTCCTAGGAGTTTCCTTGCGTTCCTTCCTTTCTGAGTGCTGACCCTGACCCTTAGCTACTAGACAGACTCCCGCTGTGAAGGACTTCCTCCACAAGAGAAACTGGCAAAGTAGCCCCCGGTAAAGCTACTGCCACCTTGTGATCGTATTTTTTTCCCCTTACCACAAAATGACCTACAAAAACTCAGAAAAATATACCCTGGGCCGGGCGCGGTGGCTGAAGCCTGTAATCCCAGCACTTTGGGAGGCCGAGACGGGCGGATCACGAGGTCAGGAGATCGAGACACTCCCTGCTAACCCAGTGAAATCGTCTCTACTAAAAAATACAAAAAAAAAAAAAAAAAAAAAACACTAGCCGGGCGAGGTGGCGGGCGCCTTGTAGTCCCAGCCTACTTCGGGAAGGACTGAGGCAGGAGAATGGCGTACAACACCCAGGAGGCGGAGCTTGCAGTGAGCCTGAGAATCCGGCCACTGCACCTCCAGCCCTGGGCGACAGAGCGAGACTCCGCTCAAAAAAAAAAAAACCAAAAAAGAAAAAAAGAAAAAAATATACCCTGGAGATACCTATCTGGACGGAAATAATTAGCATAGGGATGGAAATATTTAGCATAGAGATGGAAGGTCAAAGGAATCAATGATACTACTTCAGGAAGAGTGCCTGAAAATAAGGTAGGAAGGCCCGACTAAATCTGATACCTTACAAAATTTGAGATCCAGTAAAGAGGAAAAACACAAATATTACCACTTGATCAATTTCTATTCATATTATTTTACTCAGGCCACACATTAGCTTCTTTGAGATAAAACTGTCTCCTTCCCTCCCCAGTCAGGATGGTTAGAATGACAGCCTTGTTTTCTGTTTCTACAGCTTTTCTATATAATTCCTTCACCACATATTATTGAAAGTGTCTGACTATTTGTCTGTCTTCATATGGTGCTGTCCTTGGAGGCAGAACATGTATTCATCTCTAAATTCCAGGAATCTAGCACAGCACCTGACACACAGGGCGAAATAAATATTTTCTGAATGAATAGGCAAAATAAATATTTTCTGAATGAATTAAAATAGCTGTGGAAAAGGCTCATGATGATGATGCAGTGATAGAGGACTTCAAATGGCTGGGGAAGGTTAGGATACTTTTCGTTTTCATGATGATGGTTTTATTATCCATTCTTTCTTCTCAATCTGAAGTTGGATTCTAGCCTTATCTAAACAAAGACGTTAGGATATTGAGCTCACATGTATTGTCCCACAGGAATAATATAGGGAGAAAATGAAATAATATAAAAATATCTCAAGCAATTAGCAAGTCACCTAGTTTCATAAAAACTCAAGATGGCATAATTGAGGGCTAGTGTAAATTTTATCTTATAATATTATTATATTAATTTGGTTTTGCTTTCTTAAAAGAAATTTAAAATAAAAGAAAAAATAGGATTTTAGGTCAACTTATGTAAGATCTGAATCTGAGATGATTTTTCTCTTCCTTATTAGAAGCCCCCTTTGTGATATCAGTGCTGTTATTATTTTACTTTTATTTAAGGGAGCAAGGCTGGTCCAAGCATGTTATGACTTAGGTCATTGCTTCCACCTATTTTTTACTAAGATACTTGTTCATAGTTCATAATTTGGCCATTGAAACCCAAAACTAATATTGCGAAGTCTTTGACATCTACATCATAGCATTTACTGATTAAGGTAGAATAAGAATAAGAGTTAATAAGTACTTCATAGCAAAAATAAATAGTTGGAATGCATAAAAGATCATGGAGGCTAATTGAGTGATATCAACATATCCACAAAAGATCTCTGGACAAATGATGGTACAATATCCTCTACTTCAACTATGAAACAAAGTTGATTGCAAGACATGTCATACCTTAAATGAAAACTTTTGGTA